GAATACAGTTTAGAATATACACAACTATAAATTAAGGCCGCATTTAGGTTCGCTTGAAAAGGTAATATGGGCAAGCAACAAAGTGAAGGTATCCAGTATAAAGTGGACTTCAGACACACATAATAGATAATATTAATTAGTGACGGTTACATTTAGAATGATACAAAGCAGATAACGCTTACTTCTGAAAGTTCATCGTAAGATTTCATCTGTGAAGTGTTCCCATCCCTGGCACTCTGTTTTGCATCATCTATTTTGTCTTTTAACATTAAAATTTGTTTTTCTAATTGTTGATTAAGTTCTTCCTGTGTTTCATACCTCGTCTTCCACTCATTACCTGAAAAAAGGATAGAAAAGTTGAAGCGATTTGAGAGATTTCTCGCATTAGAATAACTGCAAATGTTGTCAGGGTGTTCCTGGCACTTAATTACTATGTCATCATATTTTTTTTCATATGACCTTATATAGCAATCCAATGGGCAATACACTCATACTTTGTCAAATGCCAAGAACTTTCACGAAATTGCCTGGATGTGTTTTATGTCATCACACATAAGTTGCAAGCCCTTTCTTTATCAATCCTTGGTTAATGGTAATCTGGTTGTAGATAGTTGACAATCGCCAGTGGAGAATTCGAGATGAAGTTCATCAAAGTTAAGACAAATAATATGAGTGAATTTAACAAATGTGATTATTTACAATAATGAAAGTTACACAGAACAGGTTTGATATACCGCAATTTTAATAACTGTTAAAAACTTTATTTTTCTGTATTCAACAACTTGAATACAATCAATAATTGTCACACAACCATGGCAAAAAATTGATATATACATATATACAATTCATATACAACATAGCAAAAATTATTGTTTGTGAACATCTGTTTTACAGACGTGATATTTCAATGCAATCAGTGCCAAATTTTGATGTCAAGTTCAATCCACATTAATGCAATATAACATCAAACAGATTAGAATAAAATATTAATTACCTTCTTCTCCGACTCCATCTAACCTCTTTTCTAATTCAGATACCGTTATTCTGAGTTCCTGCGTTGACTGCTCCAGCATTTCTCTGTAACAGACACAGACCATAGATGTAAATCAGGTACAATATCAACCAAAGACACTAAGTGAATACAGGGACAGGTAACAATGGTAAACAGTTATGTTAACTGTTATTAAAAATATAGTGTATCAAATATGTACTACTGTTCATACACTGTGGCGTAGATTTTGTTTGAAAAGATGATGAATGAATGAAAAACATTGACAAGTGAAGATATTGTATTATTATTTACTTGGATCAATTCACAAAGAAAGTGTCAACTTCAAGACGGTTTACAACCTGTTTTGAAAATACATCAAATCAAATTTGTTCAAAACTTACTACGATACTACTGCTAATAATGTGTAGCGTAGTTTTTGTTTGAGATTCTTTCATCAAAAGACAAAATTAATATTGTGTAAGAGTTTGTACGTCTGTAATGTAACTTGTCAAGTGTCTTTTCAAATACAATTGCAGACCGTAGCTACACCAGGTACCACAGCACACAAAATACAATTGCAGACCATAGCTACACCAGGTACCACAGCACACAAATGAAAAGGCTTACTGTTTTGGTTAATTTGAGCTTTGCGGTCATGCTCCATCAGTCCGAAAATTTCCCATTGTGTGAGAGCTAGACTGAATTTGATACAGCATTGTGAAATAAATAACAAGTAAATCATTGTGTACTATTACATGTTGTAATATTGTCCACCATGATTACTACAATGACCTTGAACTAGAAATTTGTGTCCCTGCTGTTACTAAACCCTTCAAAATCATGTGATGTGTGTGCCAAGATTTAGTCTAAATATTCTAGATAAGCCAAGCGAGTGATACATATCACATGGCTGGATATATGTATTAACATTCCAATGGGTGCAGTGCCATGGCTACCAATATGTCATGTATGATTATAATTACATCATGTTCACACACTCCCCCTTCAAATTATAAAGAATAAACACAGGAGACTATTAATTAATTAACATCTAGAATTCACATTAATTACAGATTAACTGTTTTTTTTATAGTGCCAGAGAAATTTGAATATCACATTTCATATTAAAGATTTCACGCATCAGGAATTCAATACAGATACTCTGACTATGCCACAGGCGACGGGAGATGTTCTTCTAAAGTTCTAAACAAACCTTGGTCCCAATCAAGCTTGTGTACTGCGCGCGTAATTTCGCCAACGTTCGGTCATTTTTTCCCGATTTACAGTAATGTATTTAATATTAAATTACCAAGTCAAACATACTGTAATTAAATTGTTTGAAATTAAGCTGATTGACCTTACAATAAAATAATTTCGGTCCGAGGCAACGTTGTCATCCCGATCGTTAATTGACATGTACGTGGACACGAGGAGTCGAGGACATGTAAACAAGGACACGTTTTGTGAACACTGAAGTTATACTTTTTTAAAAACAAATAATATCAGATGTTCGTGCATCATATCAGCATTCGATTTAGGTCATCCACACAGTCACGGACAGTGTTTTAATCCGATTAAAAGGCAGTTTACAAACAAAACAGACAACATTGTAACAAAATGGCGACCATATAACGGTCAATCGTCAACACGAAGCCAGCTGATCAGCTGCATTGTTTATCAGGAATGTATTGGCCAGGTCGACATGTGTCCGTGTGAATATTTTAGAATTGTTCAATTTTTGGCCGGAGACCATGTACACGGATTAGTAGGGATAATAAAATACAGCTGATACATGTGTGTACACCCCCAGAGAATACACGTCGATTTGAGCTTAAGTTCAGCTTGCTGCCAGGTTCGCTTTGAAAACAACGTTGGTTTTGTAGGTTTGTCGAGTCTAGTTGTGCCCTACAGCGAAGATTATGACCTTTAAGTGCTAGATTTACTTACTTCATTTGTTTCTCTTGCTGGAGTTCTGTCCTAAGACGGTCTGTATCGTAGTCGCCCTCATTCATGGTATCTCCAATCGCCATACTGTACTGCTGAAGGGTTGTTGGGCCGAGGTACCCAGTGCGCATGCGCAGTTGCTATTGGAGATGAAACACAACAAAGTCGTGAGAAAGTGTCAGATGAAGGCAAATTAGATATATAACCATCAATTCTGTATAATCGTTGAATGATAAAAAAAAAAGTATATAGATTTATAGATTTTCAATTCCTGACAGCTGAACAATTTAGATGTGAAGAGTATACTTAGGACGTGTTGGCAAATTACGTGTGGGCGGGGCGGGTGTAACTTGATTTCTTGGTGAACTGCCACAATTACGGAACCACTGTTTTCCTACCACAATTCCAGAGAACTGATATTTGAGAGTGAATATACCAGGGCCCAATTTGCACATGTGCAGTGAGTGCACATGCATGTTTGAGGTCCAATTTTATTCATTTCACGTTCGTTGTTTCCAGATGATGATGGAATTTTATGTCCACTTTATGTCAGTTGTAGTAATTTTAAAAGATAATCTAAAAAGGAATTTTCCATAAATAAACTAATTCCCCCGTGTATTAGACTGGTAATCTGCGTTTTGAGTGAAAACGAAAGTACCTGGTGTCGCCCAATTCGCAGTACACTTTTCAAATGATATGGCAATCTACAGTATAAACTTTGTTCCAGTGTTGTCTTTGTGACTTGCATATCAATTCCCCCTTAAGGTATTTTAGTATTCTGTAATTCCTGTCTGAATTTGTAATCTATTTTGCCAAAGAGTTGCCCAAATTATCTTATACCAGCTTCAAATATTTTTTTGTTACATCAATTACATACATTATTGTTTATCCAAAGTTAAATCACAAATAAGAATGCGAGACTCACATATTATCAGATGTGAAACATATTGTAGTAGCACTTATGATGCAGTAATCTTTACTTCATAGCAAAACTACTCGTTAGTAGAAGCGTCAATTTGTCTAATCTTTTTAGTTTGCTGTTCAGCAACTTCTTCCTTCTAATTATGTGGTAAGATACACATACGATTTGAAATTATATATATTTCTAGTATATATATATATATATTATATATTTTTTATATCGGGGCAGACAATTTTTGGAGATTGTTTGTTTGGAGTGCTGCTACTTTTTACAATTAATATAAGGTTTGAGGCCGCTGTCATAAAATGTCATTTACTGGTGTTAGACCTAGAAAATCTTCCTTGCCGACACCGATACCGTTGCTTGCGGATGGAGCAAACAATGAAAGCTGAAAGTCTAGATTACGTTACTGTGCGTACCTATTTTCCCGATATTACATACTTGTTAGATGATAAATCCATTGCCATAGTAACACGTATTGATAAGTTATCCTACCCCCCCTCCAGTACTGAGTTAGGCCATGTGAGCTGACACTGTCCATTAATATGTGAAATACTTATTTTTAGGAAAAGTAAATTTTCACTGAAAAGACATGTTTTTTTCACTGATTTTGATGAATTGAATGTGAAGTATATAAAAAGATATTTATTTTCAATGATTCACCCCTTCAGTGAAAATAGCTAATATATTTTCCAAGTGAAAATAAAGTAATTTACTGTGGTTTTAAATATATGAATACTATGCACACACAATCGTACTCATGGCCTTGGCAATTGTAGGTACGTAGGTATGTCGATGCTGTCACGGCAACAGTTAGTTCAAGTGGTCACATTTAAACTTAAAATAGTTCAGTTTCCAAGACAGGAAACATTTTGCGCGTTGGTAATATTGAATTGGTCACTTGGTCACTTTGTGGTTGTTTACTGTAAAATTTTATAAAAGTCTTAGACTTGCCGACTGTAATAGTGTCAGTCAACGAGTGTTTACATGTTCAGTTGTTGCTTGATGTACAACTAACGCCACTAACGACCTACCCAGCCAGCCTACCCGTACCCTACAGACTGTGACCATTTCCAGGCAACATGCTACAGTTATGAGCGCTGTCACAGAATCATTACTACGTACCGACATTCGATGGTTAATCACTCTGAGTTCTAAAAGTAACATTGGCTGGAACATTGTCATTTGACTTCACGGTGTTTTAATACCTGTGGCTTATTGTGGAAGGTCGTCGTGTCAAACCAATGGATGTGTAATGACATAGACTAATCATGCTTAGGTTTTCAAATTTGAAATACAGGTTAAATGCCCTACGGACCGTACTTCAATTAAAGAATGGTTTATTATTGACGGGAGATATATGTGGCGCCATGCAATGATGCTGAGATACCACGATTTACGAACCGCCGAATGTCGACGCACTGCCTATAGTAAAACTTATTCAAGTGTATTTTGTTGTATGTAGAATACGGATAACGTAATATTTGTTATTATATCGAAAGATAAATTAAGACACTTCGAACGAAACTCGACCGTGACCCAATCAAAATACCAGTTACGCCACAATACCAATGGTCGTCACGCTCTTCATACATTGTCCTGCATTGCTTTTATTGAAACAACGTCAATTAATTCGATCCAAAACCGAGACATAACGTAAAAAATAAGCCTTACCGAATGCCGGTTGTGAAACGGCCTAGACGTGTAACGGTACTTGGACATTAGTAGCTGTACTGTCACATTTATACTGAAGCGTAGAAATACAGCCGGACCATACCACCAATGCGGGTTATAGCTCTGTGAATCACCCAATTCAGTGGGTGTAATATTGCTACATACCTTGCCTCGTATAGTTATGTGTTTAATGACCTTTGAAATGACGAATGTCAGAAATGTCAGAAAACAATAAGCGAACTCCCATGCACATATGGTCGACCAATACTAGCCGATGCGTTCCGAATGTAACCGAAACTCCGACACATTGCGTTATTTTATTTTATTTTATTTTATTTTTTATTTTATATTATTTTATTTTTATTTTATTTTATTTTATTTTATTTTATTTTATTTTATTTTATTTTATTTTATTTTATTTTATTTTATTTTATTTTATTTTATTTTATTTTATTTTATTTTTATAACATGGTCCTTCTGGTTCAAATACCAATGATACAAGGGAGTACGAACATGACAATCAGTTATACCAATACATCCACGGGGATTTCCATGTGAGATGTATTTGACGATATTGTCGCTTCACGTGCCGAACTGATTTAATTATAAGTATAAATTTAAAGGCGACTGCCCTCTATCTACATCCGATATAAAAGATGGTGCAATTCCTAATATCAGGATTGGCGGGATATCCTTGCAGATGCCGTATGGATGGCATGAACATGTTTTCCGCCGACGTTACATTAAACCTAAGGATATAAAATATTGTTACCAGTCACCCGAGAGTATATTTCATGAATATTGACTGGTGTATGTAGTGTGTCTTTGCCTACAGGCGTTACAACAATCAATATGCATATCCACGAGTAGTCAGTCAACTTTTCGAGAAACGGTGACTTAGGGGGACCATTATATCAATCCCAAGAATATCCCCATCCCCTTTGGGAGAGTTTATAAATAAACATGTTACCGTTGCATGTACATTACATGCAATATGGCCTCTGGGAATTGTGGGGTCGTAGCCTGGGAGCGCTATGAATTAGGAAAATCACTTACTCCTGGCTCGCTCGTTGTCACTTTAAAATGCCGCGACACGGTTATCGGGCAATATTTTTCAGAAATGGAAAAAGCGAAAGCAGACGTTTGCTCGCGGTGAACGTCAAATGAAAAAGTTCGGACTATCTGCCCTCACTACGTAAGAACCATTATGTCACAGTCTGGGGTCACAGTGTATGAGGTTGGCAGACGGCGATATGTAGAAACAGCACTCTAAACACAAAGCGAGCCTTTTAAAATATATAATCGATCACAATATATACATGTACTATACCTTTTCCCACTTGTTACTGTCTTTTTATGCGCATTTTATCAGTGGATCGGAATGTCGATTCACTCACAAGAATAAGTTCTAAAGATTTTGTACTCGATAGTTCCTTTGTTGCCTGGCAACTATTAAGGAAGCGCGATGGAAACTCGCATCTAAAACGAACGATCGCGCTAAGATCCACGCATGCGGCACGCAACAAATATTCCAATTTGTCTTCTTCGTTCACTTCTTCATTCTTTTTCACGAACTGGAATAGTGTTTGGCGTGAAGTACAAACACCCGATACAAATACAATTTTAGGAGAACTTTAAATGATTTGAGATTCATACCTGCGATGCATCGTACGGCAATGGTTCCAGTGACATTCTCCTGGCTGAAGTCGGCCTGGTACGATAGTAAGTACTCGGTGATAGCAGTCTTGGTGTCAACATTGTGATGACGGGGATGAACTGCAACCAGCCACGCCTAATATAATGTATTTACGGTCTAGATACTGCCGAAATAAGGAAGCATTTCGAAGACTGCAAAACACGGGTTTCTAACACGACTATGAGGCCGTATATATATATATATATATATATATAAATCTTGCCGTGTACTGTTTGCATAAATCTAAAAGACCGCTGCTATGTGAACAAGAATTCGTGTTTTGTGAACTAAACCGTTAGAAAAATATTGACTCACTAACAGCATTTGAATTCATCCAATCAATTCAGTTGTGCACTTACGCGAAGTGCACGCCTGTTTGATTCGTTCGTTTCAGTCATACTGATGTGCGGTGATAGTTGTGTAAGATAAACGTGGAGTTATGTGTAATCGCTGTCGGGTTAGTTTAACAGTAAGCCCGATTCAGTATTATGGTGTAGCACAGAACTTATCACTGTCGTTTCTCTGCCTTGGGCTGTGAAGAACACCATAAACCTAAGCTTATAAATCAGAATAGCAAATGTGTTTAATTATTTACTAGAAATAAGTCTGCAATCGGAATAAATTACATCCTTTCAGCAGATCTACCAAGTAGCGTTGATCGCGAGGTCTACAAGTGTTAATAATTAACCGTGGGTTAAATATAAACCTAGCAGGTAAATGAAAACAAAGATGGCTGCGTCCGTGGTGTAAATCTGTACATTTACTGGGAACGCATTTTTACAATGGTAAGAAATGTTTTTCATATAGAGGTAACATAATACGTATCTACATTTAGTTATCTACCGAGTATACGTACATATATACATGTATATACTATATCTACAGGTAGATAGGGGAGCATCGTACCAATGATACGGCATGTAGAACAGACAAGGGCATTATGTTGTTCGTCGTCGTTCCGACCTATAGTGTTCCGATCTACCTGAATATTGAGTTTCAAACTTTGAGTCAACGCGGAGCCACTTTCAAGAATGTGCCTGATTGGCTGTTCAAGCCTATCACAGGCCAATCAGAGAGCAGATTGTCGGTCGACAATTTTTTCCGACGTATCAAGTTCTGCCTTGTCCATATATTTCGACTTAATTGCAAACTTCGATTAATATACATGCATCATCAATATTCATTAGGCTGAAAATATTAAATATATCGGATATTAGAGACGTCTGTCTCTATCTCGTGCTAGAAAGATTATTGGATATATCTTATTTATTCGACAGTTTCAGCCTGATGAATATTCAAGATTAGTTTGATGAAACTTTGGAACACTAAACGTCGGACAAAGACAATATATATATATATATATATATATATATATGCGATGTAACACTTCAAATTAGAATAATTATAATTTCGTCAACATTTGAAAACGACATTTTCAACAAAATTGGTCGATATATTCGATATAACATCAAATTTATTTGTATAATGTACTATATTGTCGTTAAAATATACGAATTATATTTTCGTCAATTTGAATATATTTGATATAACACTTGTTGCACCGTTCTGAGTCTGATAGATGTTCCACTGTGTTATAGCTGATCATTGACCTATTATTAGATCAATACCCAGATTCTCATCCTTGAAAATAAATACAATTTCTCAATTGCATGAGTTTGAATCCCGATGACATATTAATATTTCTATGAGATGTCGCATGTTTTCGAAGAGAAAATCGTCCGTCTTTGTATTCTCGGGTGATTTTAATGTGTGTTTACAAGAAACGAAGTTTCATTTTTTATTTGTTTGCAACTTTTTTCGTGGATAGTCAAACTAGTACCGAGTATCCCGATGAAGAAAGGCACCGTCACCATGACGACACCAATTGATGTAGTACATTTTAAATTTCAGATTCGTAGGAAAAGAGCGATTCTACTATTTGTCGGGTCAAGTATACTAATTCTACCAACGTTTTATCTAATATATAAACATGCAAACTCGGCACTGCTATCCTTTGCTGACGACCTTCAAAATAAAGACGACCGTAGTGCGTACGTGAAAGAAATTTACAGCAAAAACGAAAAAGTAAACAGAGAATCTCCCGATAAAGATTACGGCGAATCGTTATGGAATCAGAAGAAAAGAGGTTACGAGATCCCTTTGAATCAAGACGTGCCTCTTTCTCACGACAACCACAGTACTTACTACATGCACGCCGATGGAACATTGGTAAAGTTTTAATTACAATGTATAGGGGTACAATATGAGAAAAACTTGCTTAGAAAAAAAATAGATGAAAATACATTAGTAGTCTGCATAAAACGTTGTTTTTACCGAGCTGTTCGTACAAAAATGACACTTACTGAAACTTACACACCAAATAAAATGAATAGCTCACACTAGATTGTATGAACCATAACATTGAAGGATTTTTTGACAATATATATTTGAACTCCCTGAGTAGAGAGAAAATACAACACGTTTCCTAGTGACTGGGACTTGAGAAAACATTTGTTTTGCTAAATGGTAGAAACTACAATTAAAACATGGTGATACAGTATACAAATCTTTCTTCAACCAACTTTTTCATACATATTATTTTTTGTTGATTTCTTTATTGCAGGGGTTGGATTTTCATTGCGGGACGTGTGCATATATCCCGAGCTCCGGTCGACTGATTGGAACCGGCGTGGGTGCAGAGATAGACAGAAATGACTGTGTAATACGCATGAATGTGGCTCCTGTGAAAACTTTTGAGGAAGACTACGGCTATAAAACAACCATCCGTGTGTTGTGTTTTATGTCAGCGCCGGGCATGATAAAAGATGACGTCATGACAGGACGGTCTGCACCAGAACGGATGATATTTTGGGGAGTACACCCCCTAAAACAACCCAGGGCATACAGAATAACATTAGAGGCGATGAAAACATATCCTGATATTAAATATTATTTTTTCCGACCTGAAACGGAAGGATGGGCCGGAGAACTGTTTGAAAGTGAGACGGGAGTAACTAGGCATGTATTTCTATTAATTACGTTTGGATAGTGTTGTGAAAACGGGATAGAGTGTTGTTTAGCCTGTGAATTAAAGAAGAAAATCCATGTTTTAATGTGAAATGTGTGTATTCACTAACTCTTAGTATAGCCGTCTGTGCGATTTACTGCTTCGTTTGGATTACTTCTAGACATAATGTATAACATTTTTGTCTTTCTTGATCGACTTCACTTTTGTCTTTTTCGCTAACTTAGAAACACGTAAAATTTCCGTCTCCCGTAATCAATGACACACGTATTATATGCAAGTATTCTGTTACATTATGACAAAAAGACGACCCCAGACTATACAAATACCATCTCTCCCAAATCTACTAGACTATGTGGTACGCTCACTTAAGATAACCCGTATTTTGTTACCAACCTCCCCGGAATAGAACTAAACCAGAATCAAATGTGGCCCATCATTAACATCATATATATTTTTCATAATTTGTTAACGATTCCTACTTTGTGTGTTACAAAATTCCTAATTTGTGTGTTACAAAAAGTCAGTGTACTAACATCAATATCCTAATACATAATTATGATATGAAGAGAAAATAATATCACTAACTATTACTGTATGCTTATTCTAACTGACTGCTTTGACATACCAAGTATGATTGGCTGTCACCAGGAAGTCAACTGTGACGGTACATAATTCAGCATTATGATAGTTGTTTACTACAATAATGTGATTGTTATGTGTGTGTTTTTATTGGCAGACTTGGTAGTAATTCGTGGCTGTCCACTGGTTGGTTTGCTATGATCATGGCATTTGATATATGTGACGAGATAAACGTGTATGGCATGATCCATGACGACTATTGTGGGTACGTACCATAAATTGTATTCATATCGATTGTCATGGATACGGAAATAATTAAAAAAGAAGAATATTGATGCATTGCATTTCTCCTGTTGGGGGGGGGGGCGATGTAACACCCTCTTAAAGATGGCGATGTAACACCCCCTTAAAGATGGCGATGTAACACCCCCTTAAAGATGGCGATGTAACACCCCTTAAAGATGGCGATGTAACACCCCCTTAAAGATGTTCTATTGCGGCTAAGCATTAATCATGAATGTTTCTTTATTTTCCTACGTTTGGAAACTGCTCTGTTGAATATAATACCAACAAATGAAATAATTTGTGATTTATATTTATTGACAACTAACTAGTTGACAAGTTTAAAAGGCATACATTATAGCGGTGACAGTCTTCATGAATGCAAGTATTCTCACAGTCGGTGCTACATCACGATCCCTCAAACGTTTCCAGGACCAAACACAAACAGGAAAAAAAAAATATTTTTTCTGATAAACACCTATGTTCCGCCCACGCTAACCAACTTTCCCTACACGCTAAACGAAAAAAATCTTTTGTCTTCTATTGACTTCCTGTTCCGGTCCGTCTGTGAGAATATTGATGCACTTGATTTGACAGATAAATTGTTAATAACGCATTTAACCCCACTTCACAGGCAGCATCCCAACGACACGGCACCGTTCCACTACTACGGCATCTACCTGAACAAGACCGAATGTGGATATTATGAGAAGTCGGAGAAAATGCTCAAAGGAGGTCATAGGTTTATAACCGAGAAAGCAGTGTTCGGAAAATGGGCTACTGAGCATAATGTCAATTTTTACTATCCATCCTGGGACGATTATCGGTTTAATAAGACTATGGATACGCCGTTTGTTATGAGAGATAGGTCTGGTTTCACGTAATGGCCATCATGGCCTTCCGAAGTCGCCGGGTTACCTTACAACCATGTTGAATAGCGCCCTCATACGTCTGAAGACGAGTACGTTGTTACTTTTGTTTGGATTGAAATGGCGGTCAAACGTTTACTTATATTGCATTACACTAGGAGAGAGAAACGATCGCTGTTTTTATAGCAGCGACATATTCCCAAAACGCTACATGTTCGGCTCCTACCACGAAGGGGTGGGGTGGTGGGGTGTAGAAATGTAGCTATGGAGTCATAGCAACTGGAAAAAATAAATTTGATTTATTCAGTTCTATTTATGTAACGTTGCATACACGGATGATCGTTCACTTCTATGGATTAACTTCAGCCTTTATTTCAAACAAAACTCGTCCCTAAGTTCCAAAGATTACGAACGCTCCCCATAAGTTATGGGTTTTGTGTCTTTTCACCGTGAATGTAACAATATCAAACTCCATCTTGCTTTGGAACAAACACTACTTCATTCGACCAGGAATCCACGAGAATGAGACGAGAGTAAATACCTAGGATTTCCCCCTAGTAACAGTTTTTTATATGGTAAACCAATATTGTACGCGATAATGTATGTCATTTTAATTCGACAAAACGAATATAGCGCTGGAATTGAATTTTCAAAGTCCGACCAGCATTACCCAAATAAAATTATAATTCAACTGTTAACTCAGAAATACAGCTTATTTTTCAAACAGAGACAACATTATGGGCAAATTAAAGCAAACACAAAATGGTGGTATAATATGAAAGCTTTTGTTAAAGTTCATATCAAGACGGGTACTGTACACTGTGATTATCGTCAAACTTATTTTTTATTTTGAGTTTTGGAGGCAGCAGTCTTACATGCGAATTTCGCCAGATATCATTCAAAGATCTGCACCAGACTCTGGGATACACACATTTAATCGTCAACAGCACGATTAATAGTACGCCAGTCTTTTTTATCGCTCCATTATCGGATAATAAAGACTTTAGTGTATATTTGCTTTGTCATAACATAGCAACATTCGTTGGATGAACCTGTATATACAAGTAAGTATTTACCTGTATATACAAGTAAGTAAAAACTTGTGTTTTCAATATTTCATAAATTTTAAAGAATAATGGTATTTTGGAGTTGCAACCAAAATATTTTTTTGTAAATTTTCTGTCAGTATTAATGGGTCATCCTGAGTTACAAAGCGCCCTCTATAATTCAATTATAATACTGAAAATGTTGGACCCACACTTCATCTCTGAAAATTCCTAGATCCGCCCGTGCACTGCAAATAAGAGTGTTCTCGTGGTTGTATAAAACGTGTGTATTCAGTGTCAATCTGGGAGACAGTAAATTGGCAGTTATCCGAGTAAATCTGGTGTTTGCCGTTTTCAGACATGCCAGCTGTCACCGCTATCACGCCGTACTATCACGTAATGAGCCTTTCCAGCATGACGTCAGACAATGCATACATATCCACATTTCTCAGTGGGACATACAGTGAAAGAATTATAGAAAGAATGATATTACTACCGCAATGTATTGTGGGGTCAAGGATGTAGGAATATCGCCTGACGAAGGTTTTAGAGAAAGCCTGACCCTGTCACCATCAAAATAACATGCTCCAGCTTTTGTCAATAATATAAATGTATCAACGGGCGGGCTTTTGTATCTGTATGAATTGATTTGTTAAAACTGTGCCATTTGGACGCATTAGACACGGCGCCTGTGCTTTAGATTCTGCAATTTGACTTACTACTCATTGCTATGGACGTGGTTCAATTCACCTAAAACTCCGTATTCCCCTGGGATTACAGTATTCGTCGGGGTAATTGAGATTAAAAATGAGATTACAAAGTTCAAGAGACCTTTCTAGAAACATGTTAGCGATGAGTAGTGTAGTCATGCCGACTTTTTCAAATAAACATACACTGTAGTATTTTTTACAGTGACTTGAATGCAGTCGAAACAATTTATGTACAAATTTTTAAAAAGAAGCAGCACACAATTAACAATTAATTTAATTTAATGTTTTAATATGTTATGTATTTAAAAAAAATGATAATCCGAGTTTGGAAACAGGAATATAAATTTACATAGCATATTCATTTTGTGGGGTCATTGTAACATTCACTTTGTATATGCATAGCATTGCACACCTATATAATGGTTTTTTTTTCGACCGTGGGTGGGCGGGGTAGCTCGGGCAACAGAGTAAATTGACTACAACATGAAGTCCCGTAGTGACAGTGCTTACGTGTCTAGGATTGCTACAAAACTGCCTGCTTATGTCAATAGCCTTGGGATTTTGACATGCCAACTAAAAACGGTAACATTGATAGGTACATTGTATTTCGTGGGAACAAGCCAGGATTTAACTTTTCAAACGGACTCGGTTCATTCTGTCCATATCAAGTTATTTCACTGGTTAGACGTGTTTTCTGAATATTCGTCGTAACCAAAATTTTACACATGGCGATTATTGCAATGACTTACACAAAGCAAATACAAGGACCACCGAGACGAACAACCAAAAGATTTAAGGGTCAAAGTTCAGTCAAGCAATTATACATTTGAAATCAACTTATCATTTTATCCAAACACCTCCGATATATAAATAAATTGAATCATTTATATCAGTAAAAATATATATATTGATTAAAAAAACACAAAACATATTTTCATAATTTCTCCAAAATATATATATCGCCGAGTAATTTATGTTGATTTGATCGGGGAATACTCGGTAGTTTGGTATCATACTTGGCGTATATGTAAAATATAAACAACTACCCACAAAAGTGAAATGAACATCAGTCTATACGTCACTACATATTTAAATGATCCCAATGCAGAAACACCTTTTTTGTTAAATGCCACGTTGTAATTAACCTGTAATGGAAATGGACTGAACCAAATTAATTATTATTGATCGCTGTGACAAGTTGGCGACAGGATGCTGACAAGTTTAATATATATGTACATATCTAAAACCTGCGTACGACATCCGCGTGATCCTTCTGACTAACAGCTGGGAGTATTACTCGGGGAGCATCTGGCTTGACATGTACATAGACGTACGTGGCTACAACGACTATTCAGTGGTGACTGAACGGTTGAGTTTCTGCTACGTGTTTTCCTCCGTCTCGGAATTGATTTTTTTTTCTTCTCCGTAACAGTCTTTTTTTAAAATAAATGTAACGATCAAAACTTTTGATTAAGGTACCCGTATTTTGTTTACTATTTTCGATTGAAAATGGAAACCACCAAATGTTCATTTGTATACCATGGATTTCTATTTGTATTGTGTCACGTGTTTGGTAGACCACCTTTGCGCCACAGTTTTATTCTTCTCGTGGCCACATACTTTAAGAGGCAATATGGATACTTACTTAGGTTTTTGCTCGATATTTTCATGTTGATCACAACGCATGGGTCGGGATTTATTGAGGAATTATTCCTTTCATGGAATACAAACTGTGTAAGGATGGCTCGTATCAATATCAATGTACAACGCATGCGCATCTGAGTGTAAAATAGCCTACTCGCCGTTAGGTTTTTAAAGGCCAAAAAAGAAACGAGACTTGTTAATGATTAACAATTTGTACTTTTTCACATCTGCATTGCAATGTAGAATTTCGGAATTTCTCTGTTGATTACAGATAATTGGGACTGTTTTGAATAAAATAGTTATTTATAATGCCATGCTACTCGGCAAACGCACCTGGTCTTAATACGTTATTTCACCAGATACGTTAATTAAAGTCGCAATGCGATCACTAATAGGTAATGCGCCGATAAATCCCGCGTAGATCACAGAAATAGTTTAATCGATACACTTTTGGCACAAGCATTTTACTGTTATTCTTTATAAATAAGTCAGAAAGTATTAATATTTTTGAATCATGAGGTAGATTCATATAATAGAACATGTTTTGTTATTCTTTCCTCTCGGTGCATGCCAATTGACACATCACCTTCTTCAAACTTTTTCATCATTTTCAGTAGTTCGTCGTTTTTTTTAATTTATGATCTGGCATGTAGTAATCCAATTAATTATAATTTACAATAAGTTTAAAAGCTGTGAGCAAATCAATAAGATGGCAAATGGTACAAATGGTTCACATGGTACTAATCATAACAGCGGCGCATGTGTCTTGCTTAGACAATTATCAGATATAACTATTCCTTGATATCATCAGTGACGATGAAGGGAGATTACGGTGTATCTGGATGACACCGTCCAAAACGTGAGAATTGTATTGGGAAGCATCTATGCATCTAGTATTTCCAGTGAGGATTTTTTTATGATTTGTGGTGCTCTAGTTTCAATGATCTGTTGTTAGATGCCGGTAATTTATTTTGGGAGGAGATTTCAACGTCTGTCTCAACCATACACTGAAAAAACAAGGCGGAAATCTAATATACAAAACACGATTAATAGACACATGTATCTATCTGTATGCAGGGAACCCCTCTCCTCTTATCTGTTTATAACAGTGGTTAAATTACTTAATATTCGCAATATTCCAAATATAAATAATATTGACATCGGCAAAAATGTGTTAAAATAGGATGTATGCAGACAACATAACTTGTACAATTAAGCCAACCCAATGATACCATGATCATTACATTTGTCAAATGTGGAAAATAAAGAAAGAGACAAGTTGAGAAACGAGAGCTTCAGATTTCACAAATTAGGGTTAAAAATAACATACTTTCACAGCCAAAGGATCCGAAAAATCCGTTTCTCAACTTGTCTTTTTCTTTATGATCAAGCCGTAGTCAAGTTGGTTGCCCCATATAGGAAATATC